TAATGTTGGAAATTAATTTTTATTAATTAGTATGGATAGGAAATTAAGAAGGAATTGGAGAGGAAGGAAAAATGAAAGAAATATATAAGTGAGGAAGAGAAGAAAAGAAAGTTAGAAAAACATTTGGAAAGAAAGAGGAAAGAAGAAGAAAGGAGAGAAAGAGAAGAGAAGAAGAGGAAAAGTGGAATTCATCAAGAACCAACATCAAAGCTCCGATTAATCGAGGTAAGGGTGAGAAATGTTTCTATTTGATCATTGTATGATGTTATGTATGTTGGGTTGGGGCTTTGGTAGAGTTTTCATCACTTTCCATTTAGGGAAAAATGTTGGATAATTGGTAGATTGATGATTTAATCGGTTGAAACTGAGTAATAATGCCGTAGAATAGTCGGGTAACATGTATTGATGTTGTTTATACTGATTTGGATGTGTAAGAGAGGGTTGATGATGGATTGGTGAAGGAGGAACAGAATAGGGTTCTGTTCTGCGCAGGTTCGCTGGCTCTCGCCAGGCGAGCGAAGGCGAAGCTTCGCCAGGCGAAGCCTAGCGAATGTTGGCGAGTAATTATATTTAAGTCCCAGTGGACTTCGCTGGTGGGTTCGCCAGGCGAAGGTGGATAGCGAAGGTTCGCCCAGCGAAGGTGCTGGCAAATGGTGGCGAATGAAGTCAGTAGCTACTGACTTGGGCTCGCTGGGAAGTCTCGCCAGGTGAAGCCTAGCAAGTGTTCGCTGAGAGGGTTTGCCAGGCGAAGGTCAGGCGAAGGTTCGCTGCGGGGTCTCGCCAGGCGAATATGGGCGAGTTTGACAGCATTTTTCTTTTGCTGTGTTGATCATGTGGAGATGGTTTGGTTGTTTCACATAGGTGGATACCTTATGATAAGGATATAGATATGATCTATTATGGTAACATGTGTTGTGGGTAGCCTTCGGGCGTGAATCCTAGAGTCGTGATATGAATGATTAATTGTAATCGGTTAAAATACATGAGAACATAATGATGATTATGTGTGTATTAATTGATGAGTTGTGAATGTTTGATTGTTGTGTACAATTATGTAATGAGTACGCATGAGAACATTTTGAATATGTGTGCATAACTTATAATTGTATGATTGCTATTGCGATGTGAATACCTTGATTGTTGTGATAATTAGAGATACATGGGAATACAATGAGGAATGTATGTGTATCGTCTAATGAATTGTGAGTGCGCATTTATATGCGATTGATTGTGTGAATGCATGGGAACATAGGTGATATGTGTGCATTGTTGTTGAATATGATGATGATGTGTGAAATGAACACATTGATAAATGTTTGATATATGTTGTATGTGCAATCATGATGATATTCTCGAAGGGGTGAATTATTCGAATGCATGAGATTAAGATGTCGGTCTTAAGTGCATTTGCTGTGGTTGATTGTACATGCATCATTTAGTCAAGAGGCAATGTCTGTTAGTTTCGTGGAAACTAGTGGCTTGTCCCAAACCTAGAAGTGTGGGTTTGAAGGCTTAGAGGACGGGCCTTTGTGGTTATCGGTCTAGAAGTGTGGACCCGGTTTAATGTAAAAACCGAAAAAAGATAACGGGTTATCGGTCTAGAAGTGTGGACCCAGTTTAATGTAAAAACCGAAAAAAAGATAACGAGAGTCGGTACCGCATTGCATGAGTTGCATTGAGTTGTTGTATCACATTGATATATGACATATGCATGAAGTGATGCTTATGTGTGAATGATGAGATTGTGGAAATCGTAAGTGTATACATAATGTGGGAATGCTTTGTGAATATCCATGTTTGTATATATATATGTGTGGTAAATATATATGACTATGAGAATGAAGTGTGGTGAGAAATATGAATATGTGCTATATGACTACCTATATATATATAATCTTATGCTTTGATTATTATGGTTATATTTCTCACCCTTCTGCTGTTTTATAATGCTCTACGAGGCATTGCAGATTAGGATGCTGGAGTCCTTTTGTGAAGATTAGTCTTCATTCTTTTGAGTCTGCTGCTCTGATATGTAACACCGGGTAGTTAGACTAGTATAGTCATTCTTTTGTGATACATTGCGATGTATCAGCTGATGTGGTTTTATAATCTAACTGATATGATGTATTAATCTGGATGACTTATGTGCATTTGAATTAATATTTTGGAACTGCTTAAATGATTTGATCTTCCGCTTACTTTTGAAAATGTTACATATTTCATGGAGCAAAATGTTAAAGTGTTTTATTGGTGAAGTTGTGACATTCTTCTTTTATACCTTATTCTAAAACTTTTACTTTGATGAATTTGTATATGCTTAAATGTTTTATATGCATTTATTTGGGGTATAGAAGGGGGTGTTACAAGCTGAGGTAAATGCCCGGGCTAACTAACCGGAATACAAAACTTTCTGAGGAATAGATAACTCACCGAGTACCTAAAACATCCAGGCTAAACAGCCTATTTTACCTGATGGAGAACAAACAATGCCCTGAACGGCCTTCCAAGACGCAACTATCTTGGGGAACAAAGAATTTAACTTCCGGAGGCCTCAGTCTGTACTGCTGAAGGCTGAGTTTCTGCAATCAAACTGAGAGAGAAAAGTAACAGGCCATCGCTGGGGAAAACCTGGCACCTACTTCGTGGGGATACGCCCGAATCTCGACTCGCTGGGAAGTAAACACATACTTGTACTCTGCGGAGGATTAAAAGTGCACTGGAAAACTGCCAGGGACATGCTAAACAATGCATACAACTCTACTAGGATAGAGATGCCACTTCAACTACTGGAGAACAACACTATTTAGGGAACATATGAATCCATCCATATTCATAAACCTTGCCCCAAGGATAACAACCCTGCAAAAGGCAAACAGACAAGACGTCCTATACAACAAGACTACCTTGGTCATCGTCTGTGACATTGTTCAATTAATATCAAAGTTTTAGCAATTATTGGCCAAAGCCTGCCAGTTTATGTATGCAAGTTCATCAAAAACATCGGGCGTTTTTTATAAACAAAACAGTAAAAGCATAAAAACAAAGCGTACAGACAAGTACTGAATAGTATATGTTTATTGATAATCAGCCTGTGAATAGGTGATAATCAGCCTGTCAAAAAAAAAAATTTTTTTACACTTTCACCAATTTTAAAATTGGTGGTACTATACCGAAAATTTTAAAATTTTCGATATTGTAGCACCAATTTTAAAATTGGTGGTAGTGTAAAAAAAATTTAAAATTTTTTTTTTATCGAAAATTTCCAAAGACATTACCACCAATTTTAAAATTGGTGATAATGTAAAAAATTTCACTTGTTTCAAATTTTTTTCAAAGATAGTTTTAAAATTATAAAAGTTTAAGATGGTGTCAAATATAATTTGAAAAGTGACGGATTAAATTCTTGAAATGTTTCTTAACTTTGAATTTAAGATTAAAAAAAAAAAAAGCTACACATCTCCCGTAAACTTTTTTATAAATAGCAAAATTGTACTGGCCATTGGGTAAAGTAAAGTGTTCAACTTATTTTGACTTTATTATCTAAAAATTAGGCCAACCATTTTCTAAAAAAGGGTCCTCATCTTAGTTTAAAATTTTACTTCGAATTTGAACCTACTCACATTGAATAGGCTCTTGAGCAGATCTTGTTATAGATAGGACGGCTTTGATTTGAATATTAAAAATAGATGGTAGGCAATATTCCATCACCATTCTGTCTCCAAGTTCATGAATCACTATTTGGTTAAACAGATGAATTAGCACTATTCTAATTTATTTTATTTTTCCTAATCACAAGCTTAGAAACTGTTTAGTTTCATTGATTGCTTTCAAAGTTCATGAATCCTTCATTGTGTTGAAATATGATCTGGAAAGATACATTTTCTTAATCTCCTCCAACCACAAGATATTATAGCACATGGTTGAATTGAATTATTAGCAATCAAAAAATACATCTATTATGTCTACACGAGTCCACACTACTTTATTAAGAATTACTATAATGTAGTTTTATTTTCTTTGATGACCAAAAAAAGCTATCATTTTCATGCAAAGAAACTTCTATTTCCCTCAACCAAAAGCCAAATAAATAAAATACTATTACTTACAATGACAAATTACAAATTTACATTAAATTAGTAAGAACCAATATAGTTGTAGCTCAACTAATCAAAAGTGATGTTGGCCTAAAATTGAGACCATGTACATGTACAGAATCTTTTTGTTAGTGATAATAACATTTGGCAGAGAACTACACAAGTTGCCAAAGATTTTGAGCCACTAAACAAATCATAATCACATTGTTTGTGGAGTATCATTGCAGCAAGCAATAGGAAGCTAAAAGCACACCTATTCTCAAGCAAAAATGACCCTTTTGTACAACTGACCACAGAATCACATGGATGGCAAATTTGGCAGACAAAGAGATTCATTCTTAGCACTTTGATTGATCAAGAGTGAACTTGAGCCACCAACCAACTCTTGAAATCTCAACCTTTCACCTTAGCAACCAAAATGGTGTTCAAAGGTCCCACAATATATCAAAGTTTCCTTTTTTAAGGGCCCTTCCAGGTTTTTCAACACATGACTTTGCATCTCGTTTAGGGGCCAGCAGATTCTTAGTGTACCAAAAGCCAATTAAGACTTTAAGATCAAGACAAACTCATACTTGGCCATTTGCTAAGCACAATAGTGTCACCACTTGTCATTAATCTCAAGAATCTTATGTTCCTCTGCACATGGTTTTGACCTCAAACTGCTCTGTTACCTGATGCTGCCTGATTTGACATCACTCTCAAGCCTCCAATAACTTTGGACCTGGATTCCCCTCACTTCAAACATCATGAAGTTACACTAAATTAGTTTTAAACTATCTCGGCGAATGATTTGAAAGCGGAAGGTTGAGATCTTTAACTGCGCCATGTAGTTACAGCATGCCGTCCAACAAAGTAATGAATCTTGATACTTTTTCCCAAACTAGGAAAAGTCAGTCACATTTCATTTCAAGCCGGTACAGGTAGCCCGTAATTTTGGAATGATTTTATCCTCCCGTCCCAGCCTGCAGTCACGATAACCATACCCCATGCGTGAGCGCGGTTGGTGCTCTTGCAAGAAGATTTCAAGAACTTGTATTCGGAGTTATGCATAAATGACGTTTTTTTAGCCTTGGAGCTTGAAACAGGAAGCTTCTCCTCGGGCCAGGTAGCAGATCCCTTCGGAAAAGACTCCAAGAAAAACTCTTGGCCTAAAGAGAAAGATGCGGGTGGAGTGGAGTGTAATTGTATAGCAACTTGAGGTGATTTTTTATCCGAGACATTCGGTTGTTCATTTTCAGTAATTTGAGGTTTCAAACCATGCCAAGGTACTGCAACGGATGCATTTGAGAAAAACCGCTCACAAGACCTGATTTTCTTAGATTTTGTGGCCTTAGACTCTTCCTGATCAATGTTCCATAGATAAACATTCGAGTCCTCGCAGGCTGATAAAATATGTTTCCCGTCTGAAGTAAAGGATGCACACATTGGGCTCCCCGTGTTGAGGCCTGAAAATAAAATGTAAGGAACCTTAGTGACAGAACATATAATGAAATAAAATTCAAACTAGATGATACTATTGAATCAATAACAAGTATGTAGGGATTCAAAGGGAACATACTTTTGTATTTACAAATCACATTAAGTCCGTCGAGGATTCTAACTTGCGAATCAGCACAGGTAACCATAACTTTGTTGGAATCTTGAGGAAGAAACTGAAATAAATAACATATCATCAGTTCGCCGAGACGTTGTGAAAATATAGATAATACCAAAAATGTTAATTAACACAAGAAGCAAATGCAAAATACCTGAAAGCCCATTATTCCTCTGCCAGGAAGTTTCTTTTTACCAATTAAGCATAGTTGAGAATCTAACTGCAAGTGATTATCTGGTTCAACCAAAAAAGAAAAACCAGATGAGTTAAGGACTTTGCATGAGCCTTAAATGATTGTTATAGTAATTTAAATGAGTATTGATAATCACAACATCTAAATATAAATCGGTTAACGTTTTGAGGTATACTGAATCTTGTTAAAGGTCATACCTGATATTTTATAAAACCGCAAATTTCCCGCCAAAGAACCAACAATTCCAACCTGTTATGCATCATATTATTCAAATGAAATCATTTCCTTTATAGCAATATCATATAACGTAAATTGAAATTGTTTTTTTAAAATAATACCTGCCCATCGGGCCGATAACATACTGCAGTCACTATATCTAGGACATCAGTCCAATCAACAACCTGACAATCAGGAATTGCCCATATTCGCACTTTCCCATCTATGGATCCGCTAATGAAATAATCTTCATCAATAGGATTGAATTGTATACATGTCACTGTACAACACCATCAAATACAAACAAATTGTGAGACAATGTTGTGATCAAACAAACTATGATAACAATTGAAAAAGCCTGAAAATTGGAATAGAAATGCAACAATGCGCACCATAATTACTGTGTGAAAACACTTTCAAGCAATGCTCGTGACTCACTTTCCATAGTCGGACAGTTTTGTCAACTGACGATGAGAGAAGATACTACATTCAAAAGGAAGATGAAGAACCAATTAATTTCCCATTAGCTTCGTCTATATCATTAAATTAAATAACTTAATGGTTATCAACATTTACTCACATTCTTCTTTGACCAAGATAGATCCAGAACTTCACTTCCATGACCACGGAACTCGTGCAATGGTTTTTCCAACAACCGGAAGATCTTAGGCGGGAAAACGACACAAGCGGAATCTGATGTTTTTCTCATGCTCTTCAGTTGGCTAAGCTTTTCCTTATCCATAAACAATGGTGTCAATTGAGAGAGATTATTCACTGTAAAGTAAATGCATGAAGGGTCAATTTCTGGAATGTGAACTTCATTACATCTCTCCTCCTCAACTACTTGCCACACACGAACTACACCATCTTCGCCGCCAGTGGCTAGATACTGTCCATCGGGACTGAATTTCATTGTCAAAATTGAACCTTCGTGCGCTTGAATATCTTGCCTCAAGTAAAGCGACGAAAGCTCCTTGATTTTTTTCTTATTTTGACGGACCTTAACTTTCTGAAGCCGACACCCTGAGACTGACATTCTCCCTTCTCCTCTCCCATTATAATCATCACCTTCCCCTTGCGTATCAACCATACACGTCATCGATTTCAATCTTCTTAACCAACCCCTTCTCACCCTATTTAAGATTCCAGTAACCGCATCACCATCCGAATCCTCAAAATCTCTACCTACCAATCCTCGAGAAGGAGACACCCCCGAAACATTAACATTCATGGAATCCTCAGATTTCCTAGCAACCACCAAATGATCCGAACCATCATTCACCTTCACATTCACATTAGTCCCTACTCCTATCTCCAAACTTTCATCTTTACATGGAAAGTTATTACTATTCACTAAACCAAACTTCTCTGAAAAACTCACACTAGAGCAACAAGACATCAACAACCGACTCGAACTAAATTCCTCTTCAGAACCACTACTTCCTCTTACTCTATCTATCATCTCTTCCTTCTCAACTTCTAATGAATTTTCAACAACAATTCCATCTAAACTCATTCCCATGCTCTTCATAAACTCCCCCCTACGCTCTCTCACACTCTTCGGACTCCGAATCCATACATCATAATCAAAATCAACAGATAACTTTTTATCATTATCATCATCAGAATCTGCGTACCCCATTGACACAACATCCTCTTGAGCATCAAAAAACTGACAATCCTCATCTCCACTGAAACTACCCATAATTATCAAAGTTCAACCCATGAAAATTGAGAAACCCCTTCAGGGAAACAACAACACTTTAACCACTGGGTATAAGTCAAAATCCAATTTTTCTCTTCAAACGAAGCCACCCAGATCATAAACTACACATACAAAAAAAAAAAGCACAGAAACCAATATCAGCAAATATAAACATTCTAGTACCAATTTTAACCAAACAAAACCACACAACTAATAGAATAAAACAATTTAGTTTAACAATAAGTAAACAGAAACCAAGAAATTCAACCCAATCCATATAGATCCCAATCCATACATAAAAACCATAAAACCAAGTGTTATAAAATAAACAAACATTCAAGGATAAAAATAGAAATGAAACTGAAAAATACATGAAAAGGCGTGAAGGCAAAAAGAACATAGAAATGAGGAAGTGTGGTTACTTACACGAGGCGTATTGATGATGAGAAGATGATTATGTGTTTGAAAATTGGGATGATGTTGCAGAGCATGGTAGTTCGGAAGAGAAGAGGAAGCAAAAATGGGAAGGAGTATGAAGAAGAAAAGGAGAATAGAAAGAGGACATGTGTGAGTGTGTATATATATGGTGCGTGTGAATATACTGTTACAGAGAGAGAGAGAGAGAGAGAGAGAGAGAGAGAGAGAGAGAGAGAGAGAGAGAGGTGGAAGATGAAAATCCGTTGGTTTTCAATGGAAGAAACGAGAAAAGTTTGGTAATAAAAGTAGTAAAATAAAACAAGAGTAAAAGAAAAATAAAAAGTTAGTATCTATTTGGACTTGGAGGGCAATGTGTCTGTGTGTGTGCAGTGTAGGGATGTTACGTGTGCGCTTAGTTAATTGAGTTCAAATATAATAGATAATAAAAGTTAATAAAAAATAATTTGAAATAAAAAAATATTGAAAATGAGACTGTTAGTACGGGCTCTTATTCAAAGTCGTCCCACAACGAGAACTTGATTTTTTACACATTTAAAAAAAAAAAAAGAGTGAATAATATTTGTACTAAAATATTTTTATTATATATAGAATAATAAAAGTAATATTAATTAGAAGATAAAATAGAAAAAGATGTATTGAAAATTGAAATGAATCATATATTTTAAAATATTATTTTATTTTAAATGGATCGTTCATTGTGAGACGGAAGAAGTATCATGATTATTCTTTAACACTCCGCCACACCCTTCTCTCTGTGTGATATGCACATCATCATTTGTGTTTAGTAAAATTTGTAGTGTTATATTTGTAAAAAGGACTTTACTAGGCCGATTGTTATAAGTCGTCCAAGAAGATGCGAAGATAACATGTTGGCCAAAGGGAGGCATCGCCTCACCCCCAAGGTCTTTTTATTGCCCAATCATGAGTAACGTGGGAAAGACATTTCTAGGGCAGAGAGAAGTCAGTGTCATTTACTGATCCACGTCTTCCTAGAAAATATGCATTCAACGGTCCACCATTAAATGAGTGGGTGGTTGATAACACGTATAATGTATTACTTTATTAATTTGATTTGCACATGTTTTAGTGTTAATTCTCTAGATTTTGTAGTGTTATGATGGTATTGTATGTTTATTTCAAATATCTGTCAATTGGAGGCCTTTGCGCATTAAAAAGATGAAAAACGGCGAGAAAGGAAGAAAATGCAAGTTTTCTACTGTCATGACGGGCACATTGTTGTCATGACAGTCGTCATGCCCAAGGAGGGTTAACCCTTCAACTATGAGTCAAAGAAGCAAAAGAAAATAGTCAAAAGCACCATAACGGGCAGGCCGTCAGCCAAGCTAACACCCGTCAGGGTCTAGGATCAAGCATTCTCTTTGAAGAGGTCATGACGGGTAGGCCATCAGCCAAGCTGACACCCGTCATGACGGTGAAGGCCAGAAATTTTACACAAGTAAGTGTAATTTTTTTCCCTTTCCCTCACTTTTCGCGTTACCTTAGCACATTTTGCACAACTCCCAATATGAATTAAACACTATAAATAAGCTTTTAATACTCTGTTTAAGGGATCGAAGCTTTGTCATATCAAAAAATTTACTTGTAAAAACACTTACATTTTGCATTGAGGTGTACATGCAACATTTGTTTTAGGAACTTGGAGATTTAATTTACTGTAAATTGTAGTTGTTATTTTCATTTTATTTGTTGTTGATTTATTTTTGTTGGTGTTGTTTCGTACTTTTACTAGAATTAAAGTCTTTGTTTGAAGCAGTTTAATTTATTAAAGTATTATTTATTATACAGGTTCTATATCTCATTGCTTTACTTTAACTACTATTTTCTTTATGCTTGATTCAATGTTTACTGTTTCAATATGAACATGAATAATACATGTTTTATTTTTATTATTTTTAATATGTTAGTTTATATCAGCTGAGTCTAAAATGTGAGGAACGTCGTACCGACGACACTGTACTAAATCGTATGAGTATTAATTGAAATAAGGATTACTTTTAAGTCTGAAAATTTTATTTTTAATGTTACAAATTTACTATGAGTGTAGTTATAAACTTGTATCTGACTATAGAAAATTCGAAAATTAATTTTAAAATACAGTGAAAGCATTTTTCTAATTAATTTAGAAAAAACTAATTTTCAAAAAGGCAATTTTAAAATTATAAGCGGACATGCAAAAGCGGACGTTTATACGCTTAAAATCAGGTATCGATCACGTGAAAGCGGGCGGTACCTTTAAATTTATTTTCTACTGAAAAATAACTTTTTGAAATAATATTTAATTATTTTCCAAACAAGATTTAGAGTTATAACGTGTACATGCGAAAGTGGTAAATTAGATTTTAGAGTCGAAATCCAGTACTGACCACGCGAAAGTGGCAAATTAGATTATAAAATCAAAATCTAGTACCGACCACGTGAAAGCGAATGATCCCTTGTAATATTTTCCTACAAAGAAAATATTTTCTTGTTATAATTATGAAATATGATTTTGCAGTGCCATAGGTCGACGAAAATCTCATTATAGTTTCTCATTATTATAATTATTTTAAAACCAATATGTTTTTCTAATTACGTGAACAAAAACAATAGCACCACCTTAGATAAACAAAGTGATAACAAAATATGTTAATTGTTCATTGGTCCTTATGGGATTCGACATCTTTTATATTAAAACCAAAAAAGTCGTGCACTTGCAGCAACATCAAGTTTTTGGCACCATTGTCAGGGACCAATAACGCCAATATCGTAACTCCACTGATACATCTTCTAGACTTAGGAATATTATTGCTTTTAATTTTTATTTCTTGGTTGTATGTAAAAGACCTGAACCTTCGGGGAATTAGTCCAACCGTTAGACGAACCTAAGCGTTTATATATCAGACACCGCATAGAATAACTTTGTGCTCATATGGCTAAGAATAACGATAATTGTCCTCTTAAGGAAATATTTGACATCTGGGGAGTATATTTTATGGGTCATTTTCCATAATCGATGGAAAACCAGCTCACTCTAGTTGTTCTCGACTATGTGTCGAATTGGACTAAGGCGATTGCTTCTCCAACTAATGATGCTCTAGTAGTGATGAAGATGTTCAAAAATGTCATCTTTCCAAGATTCGACATACCAAGACTTGTTATAAGTGACGGTGGGTCTCACTTTATATCAAAAGTATTTGAAAACCTTTTAAAGAAATATGGAGTGATACACAGAGTCACTACCCCTTATCATCCGCAAACCAACGGACAAATGGAAATCTTTAACAAAGAGATAAAGCAAATCCTTGAGAAAATAATTTCCACCTCATGAAAGGGCTGGTCTTCAAAGCTAAATGATACACTATGGGCTTATAGGACCGCTTACAAAACACCTATAAGAACTACACCCTTTAAACTTTTCTATGGAAAATCCTGCCACCTTTTGTTAGAGCTTAAACATAAAGCTTATTGGACCATTAAGGCCCTAAACATGGATATTAGCGCTACCATAGGAAAGAGGATGTTGGAATTGCATGAATTGGAATAGCTGAGGCTGGATGCGTATGAGAATGCCCTAATTTATAAAGAAAGAACCAAAATGTGGCGTGACATGCGTATTACAAGGAGATAATTTAATGAGGGAAAACTAATGCTACTCTTCAATTTTAGGCTAAGATTATTCCTAGGGAAGCTTAGATTCAGATGGTCGGGACCTTTTGAGGTAACTAAAGTAAGAGAATTTGGTGTAGTAGAAATATGGAGTAATTCAACTAAAAAATTCTTAGCGAATGGACAAAGGTTGAAATATTATCACCCAGCAGATAACACTGTAGGACAAGGCGCTACTTATGCCTTAGAAGTGCCTTTGGAGGGCTAAGCTTTAATGATGTCAAGCTACTAATGTGAAAAAGCACTGTGTGAGAAGCAACCCAATGGTTTTAAGTTTTACTCAAATTTTCACTTCTAATCAATGAATAAATGAGCGCGGTCAATAAAAGTGAAAATCTAAAGAAGAATCACTTTCATCTGACAAATAAATTGGGAAAAACGAGTCAAATAATACTTTTCGGGCGTCATAGATATCCAAAGAGGCGTTAGGCATTTTAGAAAGAAAAATATGACCTTTCAAGCACTGGCGGGCAAGTCGTCAGCTAGGTTGACGTCCGTTAGAGTTGTCAAGACCATGTTTGGTTGAGACATTTCGCTAACCTCCGTGTTTAATCACTTTAACTCCCTTTAAAAAGTCAAATTCTCATTCTATCCTGCCTAAATACCTGAACCATTCTTCACTTACACCTAAAATACTCCTTCCTCTCCAAAAAAAAAATCCAACACCTCCATTAAAGCTTAAACCCAAAACCCTAATTTCTTCACCAAATCCAAAACAAAAACCACATACCCCATCACCTTCCTAAGACGCACTTCTACACTCATGACACATACTCACCACCGTTTTACTCACTACCCAAATTCAGGTCTCATTATTACCTCCTCCTAAACCCGAAATCTTTCACCGTGCCTACGATAATGCGGAAATTAGACTACATGGGAATTGATTTCAAGAA